TCAGCTATTGTCGGCGATGTCGCGGCGCAGCCAATCGAGGAGAGCATCCCGGGCGCATTCCGCGTCGGCGCTGTAGCAGACCAGGGCGCTGATCTCGTCCAGCCAGTTGCCGATGATGTAGCGCTTGTTGCACGGCATCACGGCCATCGCACGGAGCGCCTTCAGGCAGTAGAGCTGCAGCCGGGCGTTCGTCCGGGTGTGCATGGCGCGTCCCACGTGGCAGATGAGCAGCGTGAATTCGCGCATGCGCCACAGCGCCCGCTTGCTATGGAGGCCGTTGAGCAGGGCGAGCACAATGTACTCGTAGCTGAGCACCGGCTGATCGTGCAGCTGCTGCTCGGCGGGAATGCACTTGTCCTCGAATATGTCGAAGATCAGCTTGATGCCGTCGACCTCGTCGAACAGACGCTGCCCCTCCGAGCAGCGCAGCAGCAGAGCGAACGCCTTGCAGTTCATCTCCCAGAACTTGGCCAGCCGATTGACGATGCGCGAGTGCAGCAGCTGGAACAGGCCCAGCTCGATGCCCTGCTCGGGCGCCACCTCCAGCATGTGGCAGAGATGGTGCCACATGTCGGACGGATACAGCGGCTTGCAGGGATCCTGCTTCAGGTAATTGGCCACGGAGGTCAAGTTCTCGGCATCCGATAGCACAATGCCCAGCACTGGAAGGGGGGAATACATTAAGAGCTGACATGGAAAGCCAATTGGATGTATTTACCCTTTGGCTTGCCCGTCAGATTGCGCAGTATCTCGGCGGCGAGATCTTCCTTGCGCGGTTCCATGTCCTTCAGAATTTTATAGAACTCAATCATTAAACATTTGCGATTCGCGATTTGCTCGGCGCCATTCAAATTGCGAGAAATTATGTCTGAGAAGGGGAAGAGAAAGAGAGAGAGAGAGAGAGCATAGAGTAGAGAAAAAGAGAGAAGAGTGGAGTACCTACTAAATATCTTCAAATAAATCTCAATCTCCTCAAAGTGCTCCGCGTGAAGCTTCAAACGTTTTCGCATAAATGCATTCTTAAGTCTGCAAAAGAGAGAAGAGACTGAAGAAGGGAAGAAGAAG